GTATATCTCCTGTAAACTTGCACAGTGTTTTTCTTTACTTGATATGAGGGGCAAAGGGAAGGTTTTTGTTGTTTTTTAAAAGTTGAACAGAACCATGTGCATGTCCACACTCTGCTTCCAAAACCTGCATTGGTCTGCACACACGGAAGGTGACTTGGGACGTGTCTTTTACGTAGAAAGTATGAATTGGCTCTTGCAGCATTTGAGCAGAGTCATAGGTGAGCTGGTGTGCTCCAGCTGCAGCGACAGTTTGTGGGTGGACGACAGAGTTTACATCACATGTTTCTTCAAAGATGTGGACCCTTGCTGCACAGAAAGCATGAACTGACTGTAAGGTGTGATGTAAATTGTGTCATCCACCAACCATTGCGGACCATCTGCACGCAGCCCAACAATGTGTGACCAAGCAGAGCGTTTGCACTACAAATACTACAAACAGGAAAACAATTAGTGCTTCAAACAAATGACACATGAGGAGAGAATTTGCCAGGAGATTCTCCCTCATTCACACGTTTATGATTCATCATTAGAAGAGTTATAATTAGGGTCCGAGGACCTCTACTTGCTGCAGCAAGCAGGGGTCCTTGCCCGCAGGGAAGATTTCAGTATTGCTGTAAAACTGCATTGGTTATATGTTTGAATTCAAACACAGTAAGGCACAAATTGACCATTTTTGCATGATTTGGAAACAGTCATATTGACCTACATATGCAGCGGACATTTAGTCTTGCAAAAAGTCATGTGTAACCACAAATAGAAACCATTATACACAACAATTTGCATCGTCCTTGTATTTATGACTAAATAGTGTACAGCCTGCAGCTGCAGTTCCACTCAGTTTGAATTTTTATTGCTCCCCAGTTAATCTGTGATACATGAAGTGACGTCAGTGCTCAGTATATTCATGTTAAAAGGATGAACTGTGAACTTCATGTGACCTCCTCAGTGGGAGTTACTGTTCTTTTTATTTTCATGTGTTAAACACTGCTAAACGCCAGGACTAAACCTTGCATTTTTTTTAAGAGGGCGTATTTAGAATTTTGTGGAAAACCATCTTAATTTCAGGTGTATCACATTTAGTAGCTATGTTTTATGATCTCTGTGGGGCTAAACAGTAAGTGGCATGGTGAGAGAGGTAATTTGCAGACCAGATGGTGGGCCAGGTTTTAATCTTTATGAAAACATGCGATGGCGTGCAAGCTGAGGAGGACAGCATTAGGTTGGACGGTCGTATTGTCTGTCCCACATGACCGCTGATTACAGAACAATAGATGTTTATTGGAAATGTAATGTGCAGAATGCTGCCACAGAGTGAAATGTGACAATATTCTCAAGTTTTTGCATTTATCTGGTTTACCTAAAAGGAATAGGGTGTTGGATGGTATCCTGAGGTCAGTCGGGATACCTCAAGTCTAGGCACAAACAAGGAATGGACTGTGGTACTGTGCTTTATTAGTCCATTGTGTATTTGTCACAGAATAAAAGGACACAGATATGCAGGTTATGAGCATGCTTTTAGCTGAGCTCTATGCAAAAGTTGTCACTGTCACTTTAAGTGCTGTGCAAATGGATTTGGACATCTTGTACTGTAGATCATCGTCTTCATTAACATCGGTAACATGGGTGATATTTAATTCAAACAAGATTATTAGTAGATCAATGACAGTAAAATGCAGTAGATACAGTACAGTAGATTCAGTAGATGCATATTTGCTTTAAGAAATATATCATACTTGTTAACTGAACATTGTAGGTATAATTAAAACTGTACTCTTGGTATTGATGAAACATAAATAGACAAAAAACACACATGCCATAACCCGTATTTATTTTTGCAATCATAAAACAGGACTACACACACACACCTGTCAAATTGCCTTTAGACTGAGCACAGAAAATACCTTTAATTTCCAGCGTTTCATCTGTCACATTGTTAAAAAAAAAAGAAATCCTCTCATCACCTCAGAGGGAAAATGTCTACACATCACAGCGCGACTTTAAAGTGTACCACCTAGTCTTTGCACTACAGTATGACAGCGTTGTGAATAGCCTGCGTGAATTGTTTCATCTCAACCCGGACATCCCGAGGAAGGAGTGATAGTAGACAATTTATCTCTGTGAAGTCAGCCCCTCTCAGCTACTTTCTTGATTGATTCGAGACCATAAGTTTTTTTCCTGACTGGTTAGATGTTTGTATTGGATTTTTATTTTCACTGTAGGGTGAGTAATTGTTAAAATGGGACACTGGTTTTAGTCATTTTGAAAGGATAAATACATGATTTGAAGATCACTAAATACAACCTGGAATAGACAAAATCAAACTTCTAAACTGGATCAGATATAATTTGCTGGAACTAACCTAACATGAGCGTAGCAGCGTATTCATGTTATGGCTCACCTTGTAAGAAAATATTATGAGACCAATGAAACCTAAATCCTATTTAATGGTTCATTTAAACTGTGTTGTTGAATTTGCATTGTGTGATTATTTGAAGATGTCAAAATGTTTCCTTTGTTAATCTCTTTGTATTTTTTCTATATCAAAGATAAGGATTCCCGACAAAAGTGTTCCTATGGCCTATTGTGTTTGAGATGGTGTCATTATTTTTCTACACTGGATTTTTTATTTTTTTTTGTATTTTGTAAGAAGGGGGTTATTGTGTATAGAACTGTGGGCTTTGGGGTGATTCTGCAAATTATACCACAATGCAAATTTCCAGCAAGTGCCCTATATCAACTACCCTCAGCCTATATCTACTATTTATTATTTTATTTCACTTTTCTTCATGGTGTCCTCTGGGCAAGGACGTTCTGTATGACGGATGGTTGATAGCTGATTAAGGACTGACAAATAGATGCCAATTAGTGGGTGTAATTGGGTGCAATTGAGTCAGCTGATTGACTTGAACCTGTATTTAATTAATATGTGTAATTGCTTTTGTCTCAGTCCTGATGACAGAAAAACAAACAGGAAGATATTTCCATAACTCAGCATCTCAAACAGCCAGGATCATATTCCTCGAATTGTGATTTAAATTTAAACACTCATTTGTTTTTTTTACCTTCATTTTCTTCATTTGCTGGAGCTGTCATGTGAACTAACCGTGGATCTCTGCTTTTGTCCGACGGCCCGTGAACGCAGCGCTGCTCCCATCCTACGTGAATGCAGCATAAACTGTTGAGGTGATCCATGGCAACAGAGGAGCAGCAACCAACCGCGGAGCCTGTCCTCCTCATCTCCACTCACTCCCCGTTAATGAAGCCGGAATGCACCGAGCAGGAATCACTCTGAACGGCTCCCGCTGACAGATTTCGGTATCAAGGTGACCGACCGGGAGCCAAGCAGCTGCCCGGGATCAGCTCCTCGTCAGCGCCAGGTGACAGAGACAGGACCCGCACCTCGGACCGCTGCGAACGGACACATTTTCAATGGACACCATGGTAGTAGCTAACGTTCCTGGGGCTTAAAATTACAATTTTCACCCCTTTTTTTTGTGTACTGTTAACCGGAGCCGAGCAAAAATGAAAGCAAATTTTAGCAGTCTATGGGCTAAAAAGGTTTGTTATTTTTGATTCATTTTTTTGAAGCCTCGGTAAAGACGCCGACACCGTCCCGGTCCTCTCCGCCGCTCGCTGCTCGTCTCACCAGCCCCAGTCCAGTTTATTATTACTGCCCATATCTCTCTCAAGCATCTGAGGCATCATCGTGAAGATGGCGACTGGGTCGGGTTGGCAGCAGTATTACTGCCCTGCCGGTCAGGGGAAATTTACTTCGTCCTCGGCTTCCAGCATGTCCTTTCAGTCAGGCATCGCCATGGAATATACCCAAGACCTGCACCTGAAGATGAGCAAGAAAATAGCACAGCTAACAAAGGTAAGGAGTGTGTTTGCGAGGCCTATCCTTCACCCTCACTGAGCAGTAATTCAACCCTTAGGTGAGACCCTCTACCTTCCGATTCTGTGTAAGAACTGTGAACCACACTCCGTTTGGAATTTCACCTATTTAGCGACTATCTCATCCTGGGGAACGTCCCTAACAGATATAACAAGATTGTGATTTTCTGCTGAATTCTAAGGATGTTCTTGCACTTTCGGGCTCCGCATAACACAAAATCTCTACCACTGATAAAGATAATGAGCACTCAAAAATGTCACACCTTGGCCGTTCCAGCTGTTTTGTTTTGGTGGTGAGGAACTTTAAAGAACAGGTGAGCTTCTGATTGAAGTTCATTTTTTTGTTCAAATTCGGGCTGCCTGGTGTTTGAAATGTTAGCCGAAAGAAACAGCAGATATTAGTTCTTCTTTACATGCCTCGAGACACGTGATACAAGCATGTGTTGAAGTCTTAAAGCGAAAAAAGCATAAAACCGTCAAATTATTTAATGGAGTTTGGCATAAATTCCGACTGAGGGGAATGAGCCGCCGGTCTGTTCGGGTGCTGCATCCGTCAATGCCGGGTCATTAGCCACGACATTAATCAGCTCCCTCATTAATCACCTTTAGCAACACAGGCTGTGCTGGTATGTTGTTGTACTTTTTCATGTTAATGTTAGTTCTGAGGCCTTTTGAATAATCATGCAGCTAAACAAGACACTTCCTCTACACTTTGATCCCTCCTGATCACTACAACTACTTGAAAATGAGACACAGGCCGAAAAAAAGGTACAAGATCACTGAAAACCAGACATTTGAATATTCTGTTACAGCCATAATATCCACTTATTCCCTCCTCATTGGCTGATTTATAAGATTTTGGACTTCCCTTGTTGTTATGCCAGAGAGCATGTCTGTTGAATGTGAATTAATGTGTCTTTTGCTGCACATTTCACTGAAATATTCATTTGTGCAGCATGTAAGCTTGAGTTCTAAGAAAATATATGTGCTGTCAATAGAATATGAGAGGAAGGACAACTCCTGTAATCACACTCAGATTTAACAAGTGTATGTCAAGGGTCAACCACGCCCCTGAAAAGGAAATGGCGAAATGTGATTTAAATAATGGAAGGGTCTCTCACCTCTCTACCCTTTTTTCACGCCCCTCCTCTGCCCCCTTCTGATCATACTTTTATTAGCTCCTGTCTGTTTCAGGCTGATGCTGAGCTTTTTGGTAAGGAAAAAAAAAAAAGGATACAAAATCGCTGATCATTAGTGGTACGCCTCTATTGATGAATCAGATTCATTATCCAACGCTCCTTAGATCAGATTAGAATCAGGTGGTCCTTCATCAAATTCAATCTTTTTATTCATCTATTGCAATTCAACATATGAAGGTTGAAAATAACCCTAAATCCCCTCAATGTTTTTAGGTTCACAGTTTTCTAGTGCACTGTTGACAAAATAGGTTTTCCCACAACTGCTGCAACAATCAAACATAAAAAAAGGCACAGAAAAGTCTAGGATCAAAATCAATCTCCTCCATAGCAGGGTGTGACATTCTCAGTATATCTAATAACCAAAAGGCAGAGTTTTACAGTCGGGAAATAGACATCTCTTATCGTACACGCTTCAAAAGTTTTTCTGAAATGTGAAGTTTTTCAAAGGAAACCCTGTTTTATCACGTGCCATGTTGTGTTGAGGGGTCTCAATCACATCCCCCTTGTTATTAGTTCACATATCACGTTCGCAGCATTCCTGGGTCTGTGTTTTTGCCCCTTTTTGACAATTTTTTTCCCTTTATTTTTGATTTTGTCAGTGTAACTCTTGGGGCCGGCAGCTGCAAATTCCTGGATGCTGTCACCTGCCAACTCATCCGTCAAATCACCCAAATAGTCCCCAAATTCCCGTGGAGTCTCACCTCCTTTCACCACGGATCTCAAGCTGTCAGTATCCGTGTAGAGATATTCCATTTCCACATAGCTGTACGACTTTAAGCGCCGTAAGCAGTGGTGATGGTGGCTATAAATACATTGTTTACCTTGCTGGGGGGCACGATGCGGCGTTCGTTGTAAGTCTACTGAACCATAGCTGTTCTGTCATTGAGGAAGGTAAAGTAGTTAACCTCACATTTTCCTGAAAACATGAAGCTGAGCAGCTCTTTAGGTTCACTGATGAGGGTGGTTGGAGTCGGATTAGTTCTAGTTGTTGAGACGCAGTTTAGACATTTGTCTCTTGGTGGGGTTTACTTCATTTTTGGTGGGGTTTAACAGAATGCTCTTATAGTCCCAGCTGTACTTTCCCTAATCTGTGACCTCAGCGAGGTAACTAGCAGCTTCCTGTTGAGCTTTCAGAAAGGTAGTCCACAAAAACAGATCGCATTGTTGATGAAAGTGGTACACGTCTGGGATTTTGGCTCCTGTGTACCCAAATGTGGATTGCTTTGTTAAATTCAGGGGTGACCAAAACTCCTGTCAAAGCTCTGTCCATGTCCCTGTGTCTGTAAGGACCCTATTAATGAGCATGTGCAGTAGAGGTTGAACACCAGTTTACCTTGAGATGTCTTGTAAGGTGAAGCAAGGTAGGTACATGTCTGCCCAGATTTGACTAAAGGACTTTTGGGGTTCGTCAAAGTCTTTGTCGATGATTGAAGTGTGGCCTGGAGGGTTCGCTCTGCTGTACGGATCCAGAGAAGTGACATCTACGTAGAGTACGTACTTGTCCTGCCCTGTTGTGTACCTCAAACTGATGGCACCATAAAGAGCTTGGCCGGAGGAGAGCGGTTCAGGAGGCAGTCTTTTACCCCAGGATGCACAGTTTTCATCTCTGTCCGCTAGTGTTCTCTCAGTACGGCGTCCTTAATCAGATCTTACAGCTGTGATCTCTGCGTGCAGCTCCTCGAAATGATGTGAAAACAAGATGGACAGCCGTAATAAAAGCGTGTGTTTAAATGTATTTAAACATTTATATTTCTACCAGAGGAAAAAAAACTGATAGAAAAAAATCAGTTAAAGTTATCTGGTGCATCCAGTCTCTCTCTTGTCTTCAGGGAATCTGTGAGGGAGACTCACAGCCGACTGTTTTATATGTCATAAACACAATGCTGCATGTAATGCTCGAGAAAATGTCTCGCACAATCTATCTTTGTTTTCTTTTAGGTTTCTTTTGCTAAATACAAAATTTTCTCCACTCTTTGTCAATACTCCATCACCTTGGGGAGCATCTCAGGGCACACATTCAACAATCAAGTTAAGTGATGCGTAGAAAGCCCTTCACCCTTGGAAAATCTGCGCTCGCTGATATGGAGTTAGATTTCATTTATCCTTTTGTATCCTCGTGCTTTGTATTGACTCTATCGTTTCCTTTTAGGCGTCTGTTAGTTTCTTATTCCTATTATCGGTAGGCTGATATAAATGGAATATTTCCCATGTGAGAGACTGACCTGGAGACCTAAAGTTCATTCATCATACCCAGACGTTAATTCTAAAACACAGATGAATGAGATAATCTAAACCAATACCTGTTTGTCCAAATCACATTCGGCAGAGACAGAGAGGTTCCCGCCTCCGTGGTAGTGTAGCTTTAATGCAGAAGTTCTGTGATAGCTCATAAATAAAAACAAACTAAGACTTACTTTAATCAGAATATAGTTTATCATAACAATATAATAAAAAAAAAACTAACCCTATTTATTCAGAATCTTTTCAGAAGGCGATGTTGACCCTTGACCTTGACCGACCAAATCTGGCTGGGATTACAAATGCCGTCCTTCTTCTCTTTAATACAACATTCAGGAGCTCATTAACCAGGATTAGCTCAGTTAAACATTTTGTTTGCTTTGGCCCAGCTGGCTAGGATCTTCTCCACCAGCCGTACCTATGGGCTTTCAAGGGCGTTTCAAATGTTTTTTTTATGCCCCGAGGATCAGCTCTTTCATCTCTCCCTTGCCAAAATGACAGGGTTCCAACTTCTAACACAGAGTAGCACCCTCTTCACAACATTCACTCTGGGTCAAAGCATGTTTGCGGCTCCAGTATGTCATTATCCTCAAGCTGGGGGTCTACCGGAGCCTCATACACTTATTCCAGGTGGCTTTTTTGAAGATGCTTTGCCACTGAAGGGGTTTGACACCTCAACTCAGTTATATACTCCAAGGATTCGCTACTGACTCCGACCATAAGATTTGTGCTCTCAGTATTTCTCTTTGTGCTGAGAAAGTGGAGGCTAGAAAAAAAAAAAAAAACATAATTCAGCAGCTTTGGGCGAGGTGTGTGCCAAGCCTTGGTGAGTGTGGACTCTTTAAAGTCACATTGAAATAATAAAAAGTCTTTCCTCCTCTTGTTGGCTAATTCTCCGTAGCATGCTCTTACATATTTAACGATAAACGACAAGGATATGACGCACTTAGTGTTTTCTTTTTAGGTATTTTTTCATCTTACTTTTGCCTTTTTTTTAAAACCACAGATAGTTTTCCTAGAATAACTCCCACCTCGAGCTCCCACATCAGGCAGCTGCAGATGTTTCACAGCAAAGTTAGCCATGTGGTATACAAGTAAAAACCTCTTGTCACATAAAGAATCACACGTCGGCTTGGTTGAGTTAGTTCTGCAGAATCGAGATGTGCTAATGGAGACAGCAGTGATTCAGTAAGATACACATCATCAATGCATGCATTTGATGGAAAAGTGAAGCATTTTCTTGCTTTTTTTAACATGATTTCATTCAGGATTTAGGCACAAGGCGTCCCACAGATCTGACTGGGAGAAATAATGCCAACATACTACAGAGAATCCACTTAATGTATCATAAATGTGCAATTACTTCTGTCCCCTTTTAAATGAAATTCTCCTAACGGTTGAGTCCCATCAGCATTTGAAATCTAGACAATAATGCTGCATGTTAATCTGCATGAGGCCTCACTTGTACTAACATGGGATGTGTCATTGTAAAATGTTCTGCAGCTGTCTGAGGAGCCTTTTTTTGTGTTCGTACATGTAATTC